CAAGTTTCACAGCAGTACAGTTTGGGGTAAGATATTTATCAGGGAAAATTGAATGATCCTCTGTATTTATTGCTAGATAAATCGGACCACTCAACTGTACAAATAAGAAGGCAGTGGTGATCTGGGTGTGGGAAAGCAGGTACTTTGCAATATAACTTTTTCCCAGAGTTAAAACTAAGTGTTGGTTAGGACAGTAATTGTACTGGTGCTGAACTGTCTTTATAACTTTGAAAGTGAAAACCGTGTGTTCTGTGGGGTAGGACTGTCTTTATGCTCAGTGTAGAGAGACTGTCACAATGGGATCTGAATCCACCGGATTTCCAACACACTACTGCAGTGCAAACAGTCATGATAAAGGACTCCTAACGTTTAGTCTCAGCTCTGATGATAACTCCTGAGCATCCCCATACTTAACATTTAGATGCTTGACCCCAGGAATATAATCCATAGCTTGGCTTGCAGTGCTGAAGACAGAGAAACAGGCTTTAAGAATGGGATGCTTGAGCAAGCATATGCTTAAACCAGTCAACAGGAAATGTTGAAGAGAACGTATGTCTGAAATCCTGCCCCTCTCTGGAGCTTAGTTGCCTCCCTGCAGCTCTGAGTCGGCACCTTCAAGAGGCTGGGATTCACCGCTGAAAACCTCCTCCCTAACTTAAGAGGGCTAAACCCTCCCTTTGGAGAAGAATGAGTGGCTTGCCCTTTTTGAGACATGGTATAAGGACCTGGTAGGGTGGTGGCTATCTTTTATACAATAGCCTTGGATTTAGTGTGTTTGCCCAAGAAGTGGGAGAAGAGGGATCAGTACCCTGCCCAGCTGGTGGGTTTTTACCCCCACATCTCCTAGAAGTGTGTCCTAATCCCCACATGAGAAGGAAGTCTAGGCTGGGGGCAGTTTCCACCCTTCATGCTGAAGATGAGCTACTGTGTGAAAAGGAATTCAAGATACCTGGGGCCAGGAGAAACAGCACAAGAGGGAGCCTGACCCCCTCTTCACAGATGAGCACTCCCCTAAGATGTGGGAAATGTGCATTTTAGCTCCCCCAAGCTACTAAAGGGCACTGAATCCAAATTCTCCACTTCCAAGACAAGTGCGCCAGCCATTAGCCTCTTATATTAAAGGTGGGCATCATCAGTGTTGTTGAACCAAAGTGAGCGTGGCAGCTGTGTTTTGTGCCAAACTCAATGATCAGTCTATGTAACCTTATTTGGAGTGCACCTCCTAGATTGAAGCTTTTAGGAGACTTAGACCCAGAGAAGGTTAGTTTGTGAATCTCAGTGGCACTTAAGTGTGAGGTAGCGGCCAATAGGGCTGTGCGACGCTTCGGTTCCTGATTTGATTTCGCAGATTCGGCCCAACTCAGTGGCCGAATCTCCAGATCTGAATCAAATCAGAGGACCCTTTAATCTCTCCAAATCAAATCGGAACCCTCCTAATCCATTCGGAAAGATTTGGTGATTTGGACATAGACATAGCTTTAAATGTTTTTTCTGCATACTTCTAGGTAGCAGGTGGCTCACGACTTCTGTGATGCTGGGGCACATGGAGTGTCCCACAGGAGTGTGGGGGGCTCCCAGAAGCACTTCTGGTCCACTTCCGGGTCTGCCGGGGAGTGCGCTGAGGGGGGCCCCCCCGATTCAGCGATTGGTACCTCCTGGGTTGGGGGGGGGAGGGCTCCCGGAGTTCCTCTGCAGCTGATTGCCAAGCCAGGGAGGGCCTGAGGGGGCCCCCAGTGTGCTCCCCCATGGACCTGGAAGTGGACTGGAAATACTTCTGGTCCACTTCTGGGTTCACCGGGGAGCATGTTGAGGCCCCCCCCGCACTCCTGTGGGGCACTCCATCCGCCCCACCACCGCAGTGATCATGAGTCGCACTGATTACCTCAAGGTATGTAGAAATAAGTTTTAAAGCTGCGTCTGTCTGAATTGCTGATTCTCCGAATCAGCATCAAATCTCCAAATTCAGATTCGGCTGAATCGAATCAGGGACAGTGATCCGAATCAATTAATCAAATCACTGTCCCTGTTGAGTAGGGCCTGCTTCGCACACCCCTAGTGACCAAGGTTCACAGACTTGCCAAGATGGAGGCAGCTCTGAGTATGTGCAGTAGCAGAACTCTGGATGCCAAAGGAATTTTACTGGTAAAAATGGAGGTGCCACCTTCAGGCAATGAGCTGCCTAAGCACTTCCGTGGGCTTGCACATTCACTTTTGGTTTGGTTTTGCCAAATATAAGATAGAAATAAAACACACTGGCCAGGTGCAGGTGCAGACTGTCCTCTTCCCTAATTGACTTCACAACAGGTTCTTGGAATCTTTTAGTCACAGTCTCTAATTTGCACAGAGATAGTTGGTCATGTTCATCTGAAGTCGGTCAGAAAATAGGGCAGGATAGCACCTTAGAGACTAACTGAGGTTGAACTGCTTGAATTAGTTACTGCCTAAGGTGCCACCTGCTCTACCCTCTGCCAGTTGCTAATTTATCAAGCACTAACTTCAGTATGAATGAATGAATGAATTTGGTGTACTGTATTATATTCTTCAGCAATTTTGTTTTTATATGTATATTGTTGCTTTTGCCTTATGTCTGCTGTCTTGTAGACTATAGTTGTAATGGACTCAGTCCAATCCCCTTTGAAGTCTATGGGTATTTTTCCCAGGTTATTGGATAAGTCCCACAGTGCATAATGTCCAAATAGCCAACATATTACAAAGCAAACAAGTATCTGTTCAGTTAAAACTCTGAATAATAAACTAGATCTATACCTAGCATAAAGTTGAAAGATGGAAAAATCCACTTTCTTAGTGTTAGAAGCAAGATTTGTGATGAAAGCTAATGTATTTTATAGGTCCAACTGGTGTAATTGGGAGAGAATATAGACAAGCTTTTGGTCCTCAAATGCCCTTCATTAGGTCTCCTTAGCATTAGTCATTATGTGCATTTGAATGCAGGGATAGGACTTTAAGGCTTTGAGGATCTGAGACAGAAATACCAACTGAATTTGAAAAGAATACAGTCTCCTCAGTTGAACTTAGAAACATCAGATGTAGTTTACCCTTCAGACGCTGTTTCATAAGGAACACAGACGCATGAGGGTTTAAGGTTCTTTTGATATTAAAAATAACTTCAGAAACTCCAATATTTTACAATTTGATAATATAATTAGCTAGTGTTTTGACTAGAGTGATTTGATGATAATGTACAAAAAAGGGTAATTTAATCTTGGCAAAGAAATGAAGAATATTTACTTCTTTCCTTTCTGTGTCTTAATTTCTACTTCAGATTAAACATTTTGGCTGCTGAATATTTAATGTTTGAAATTTCCCTGTATAAGTCTTCTGTTTTGAATCATTATTTAACTTGGTGAAAAAGTGAGTTATATCCTGGGATTGTAGAGCATTGAGAGCCTATTGTTTTTCTTTTTTTCACATGTGTGATCTCCTGCCATGTGCAAACCTTCAGCTTCTTCTGGGAGAGTTGCTGCTCTCCCAGTAAAAACCCCAAATGCACAGATGTTCAGGATTTTTCTCCCAGAGCAAAAATGGCTGCTCCAGGAGAAAAATAATTCCAGGAACAACTGGGGTTAAATCATTTTCAGGAGAGTTTCTCCTGGGAGAGCAAAGGTCTATATATGTTTCCTTCTGAGAGAAGCCACTGCACAGACCTCCAGCATCCCAGAGTCCCTTCCCTCCTGCCCTTTCCCCGCTCCTTACCCGGGGAGATAGTGTCTTGTTCAGGCTGGATATTACTGCTCCAGCCAAGCATGGAGCAGATCATGCACCCTTATAATCCCCACATTGTGCTGTAGGGAGACAGCCCCTGATCCTGAGCAGTCAGGATCAGCAGATCAGGGCTGTCCTGTACATAGTTGCTATCTGTCTCCAAGCTGACTGAGGTAGCCTGCAGAGCACACTGAGATGTGCGCACAGGGGTCTCCTGGCTGCGCAGTGTCAGCACTGCAAGCTCTCTGATCTTGAAGGGCTCAGTATTCAAGTGCCTGTTCAGGGAACTCCAGGTAAGTTTTTTTTCTATAGGAAACCCCCCCAGGAGAATTCTCCCAGATCACTTGAATGTGTGTGTACACAGCCTCTGTTCACGTTCTTTGGGAATCTCTTATGTGCATTAAAAGGGCTAGACCCAAATTTTTCTATTATTTTTCCCTATTTTTCTCTGCTTGTATTTGCTTAAACACTTGTACTTGTTGATTTTAAAAAATGGTGTAGGAAAATACCTACATAGTCTGGTGACCAGCAAATTAATTATATTTATGTGCAAAGGCATATAGATTTCTAATCAGTGGCTTGTGTTCTATACCACACCCTCAAAGGGCAACTGGTTCTCATTTATTGGGTGAGTACTCTACCTTTGAATAAATGAGGCATCATTTTACATAATAAGGGTATCAGTTATACCAGATGCACCTAAAAATAAGAAATGTAGACCCTCTCTTTACAGGGTGGTACCTAGCCACTCTCTAAGGTAAGGATGAGGGTAGATATATGGGCAGATCATTTCACATCTGTTCTTGATAGCAATTCTTGCACCTTCCTCTGAAGCATCTCCCTGTCCAGGCTATAGGATTTTGGATTAGATAGAGCATAGGTTTGCCTAATATGACATTCCCTTGCTCTAATTTAATATCCTGTGGATGCGGTTCTTTGAAAAACTTAGAAAGGACTCTATCTTGATTATGTACTTCGGTTGGGGTCTGATACATTTCCACTAATGTTAAAACACACTTGGTTTATTTTAAAATAATCCCTAGTGCTATTCCTAGTCTCATGATTTGGCTTGACCTACAAAACTAGCTTATCCTGTAAGTGCCAAACTTTGAACCGAGCTATTAAGAATAACAATAGTGGAATTTGTCTTGAATTGACAGTTTTTTGTATTTAAATATTTAATGAATGCTTAATTAGAGCAAAAACAAGAGTCAGGGGATTGTGTGTTGCATTAATGTTGTATTTCAAATGAAGTAATGGATTTTATTCTTTTCTAGGGGATCAGCAGCCTCTTCAGTTCCTTAAAAGTGGTGCGTCTTCTACGACTTGGTCGTGTTGCCAGGAAATTGGACCATTATCTAGAATATGGTGCTGCAGTACTGGTGCTGTTGGTCTGTGTATTTGGACTAGTGGCCCACTGGCTAGCCTGTATATGGTACAGCATTGGGGATTATGAGGTGATCGATGAAGTCACTAATACAATCAAAACAGATAGCTGGCTCTACCAGTTGGCACTGAGTATCGGGACCCCATATCGGTACAATACTACCGGCTCAGGGCAGTGGGAAGGAGGACCCAGTAAAGACTCATTGTACATATCCTCTCTCTACTTTACCATGACAAGCCTTACAACAATAGGATTTGGAAACATTGCTCCTACCACTGATGGAGAGAAGATTTTTTCAGTAGCCATGATGATGGTTGGCTGTAAGTAGAATGGTCTTACTGTATTCGGTCATATTTTGCATGTACATATTTATCTTCCAGCATTCAATATGGCATATTTTAAAGCACATGCATTGGATTATTATACCATTACTATTAGTTGCACATATAGTATCCCATGATTGCCATCAGGACTCTTGACAGACATATATTTTAGCATGTTGCATTGCAGATAAGTAAACACGGAATAAAACTGGTGATATAGAAGCAAAAGTTATCTGATCATGACTTGGAAGATGTATATAGTGCTTAAGGAGATCTGATCAAAATTATATAGTATATGCCAGGATTTCTTCTTTGCATTTTAAAAATCTGAGTATGCGTTAAGTATTGAATTGGGTTAAAAACGTGCACTCTCAGACTCATGGGGCCAGTTGAATTCACCTGATATATTTTTTTAAATGAACTCCCTCTAGCTAGTTTTCAGAAAGGTGCTGTGCCTTTTATGACATTGGTTGGGTTTTAATGTAAGCTCTATTTTTATCTACTGAGATGGTATCCTTTGTCACCATGGAAGCTGAAGGTAGAGGAGGTCATTAGAAGACATAGTATTGTACCTCTTCTTAGTTTCCTGCTGTGTCGCAGCTCCTCTCAAATGCTTTTCAAATGACAGCGCAAAGGAAGATTTCTTATCTCAGATGCTATCTCATGGCTCTAGGTGAGAACACTATGCAGCTTTTCAGGTTAACAAGAATCTTCAAAATATAGTGTAGTTTGAGCAGCTGGCATAGGGAAGCAGGGGGCTGTTGAAAAATTTAATACACTAATAAAATCATTGGGAAAATGGTAAATTATTTCTTTGCTTAAATAATTAAAGGAAGTGCTTCTGTTGTGCTTTACATTCTCAAAGGTTTGTACAGCGACTGAGTAATTATGTAACAAGTGTGCAAACAGCACCTTTTGAAATTAGGAGCTGTGTAATCTCTCTAGTAATTTAGTTCAGCGCCACCTTAAGTCCTTTACAAAACACACAACTGTAAATGGCAAGTCTTTTTTGTGTCCTAAAGCTTTTCTAGATGTCCCATATTATTAAATCTATTCATATTTTTAATATGATTTTTAATGTGTTCTATTGTTTCAGGAATCTGATAGCATGCTTGCTGTGTGGTTTGATATAATTTGTGCTTAAGCAGCATCTTCCCATATTGCAGTGCACTTCACAGTCTCTAAAATTCAGTTCCCAAGCTATGTCATTACTGAGCCACTGTGGATACACTGTAGGAAATATACAGGTGGTGGTGGACTGCAAATGCTTTTTTCTTGATTCTGCTAGATGGTGTTTACAGAGGTCCAAGGACTGGGAGAACTGAGTGGTTTTGCAGCATCTTTGACTTTTCTGCAGACCACTGGTGCGGTGCAGGGGAAGGGAGCAGGAAATGGAGCTTGCAGCATTCTCCAAGTTTGCTATCACTGAATACACTATAGACTAATTGGAAAATAGTGCTGGAAGGGATTTTAGGAGATGATTTATTCCAACCTCTTCCTCAGGGCAGGATCATCCTTGTCTAAGCAGTCATGGCTCAGTATTTGTCTAGTTTACACTGCTAGTGAAGGGGATTTCACAGCCTTTTCAGGCAGTCTGTTTCAGGACTTAACCCATGATAATTGGAAAGTTCTTTCGTACCTAATCTCATTTTTCCTTGTTGTAATTTAAGATAGTTGCTGCTGTTTCTGTCTACTGGGGGCACAGAGAATAGTTAATCGCTATCTTCTTTGTGGTACCCATTTTATATTTGACAACTCTTGTCAAATCTTCCCTCTGTCTTCTGTCTAGACTAGACAATTCAGGTTCTTCCATGCTTGGTGTCAGTTCTTCCAGCCATTGTAAGGTCCTTCCTCTGAAACACGTCTGAGAGAAAAGCTACAGCTCATTACCAAGAGTGGCATGGACAGAAAATTCTGCCCATTCCCAATACCTGATACTGATAGTAAGCATGGGTGCTAGCTCCAAAATTGCCTAAGTAGGACACAGGTTGGGTATTTAACCAGAAGCATAAAAGTAACACCTGAAAAATGATCAGTATGAAAGGGGACAGACATTCTATACTCTAAAAATGATCAGTATGGCAGGTAGGTACTGGGTAAAACAGGGACAGAGTTTGAAATTCTGCATGTACACAAAAGGAACAACCTGGGGCCAATCTTTACTTGCCTTTTCCAAGTAAATACACACACTGATGCTAGCGTGGCTACTCATGAGTAAAGGAAGCAAGATTCTGCCAGTGAATGAGATGTATGGGTAGAAAAAACTATTTCTAAGTCATTTTTTTAAATCATATGTTTAGATTGAAAATGTTGAGTCTTTTGCAGATTTGATCATAAGTGCTTGAGGATTTTCACAGATGGACCTGTACAAATGTACATGCACAGCTGCGCTGGCTTAATTTCATGTGTTTGGAGATAGTCCTGGAAATGTTTGCTTGTAAATATCATGCTGTGAGTGCATGTGTGTCCTAAATCGAAATATGCTGATTGGTCAGTTAAGTGTTCACATGACTACTTACTAACTTACACCAGCTTGCAAATACCAAGCTTGTGGTTTGTTGCAGTATTTGTGTTCACAAATCCATCCTACACGGATGTCCAGAGTATGCCTTCTGGGGCGCACATTGTTGAAGTGAGAACACCAAAAAGTGATACGAATCAGAAAGTATGCAGGCAAAAACTGTTATAAGGAGAGGTGGGTACTTTCTTTTGGACAAATAGTTTGTGAAAAATGAATCTTGAGGTCAACAAAAACGACTTGCAAATCTGGACCAGGTTTGTTAAACAGTTTTGGCCAAAATGCAAAAGTTTGGAAAAGTTGAAATATTTCATTTCGACACTTTCAAAAGGAAATGTATAGTCTTTCCATAAAATAATATTTACAATAGTAGAAAGATTCCTCTTAAAAATGACATCATTTGTTAAGGTTTTTATTTTGACAAGACAACCAGAAATATTTTCGTTAGGGGTCAGCACAAAATAGTTTTTGTTGGTTGGTTTGGGCACTGAACCAGAAATCAATGATTCCCAGAGCTGCAATTATAAGTAAAGAGGAACTTTCTTTTCCTTTTTTATACTCAAAAATACGAAACAAGCTTGGTGATAGTCCTGGAAATGTTTGCTAATACCGGTAGTTTGTCTTGGCAATGTTTTTCTAACAAGGTCTGCCAAAAAAGCATCTGACACTTAGATTTGGAATTGGAGATAGTCATTCATCACAATCCTAATGGCCTGCCCACGTAAACTTCAGACATGGCAGAAATGATTTGCTGCTTTGTCTCCTGGCGTTTATTTGTCTTGCAAGCCAGAAGTTTGCTATTCACACTGGTAAATTTATGTGTAGTTGGGAAGAGTGTTTGGAGGGATTATGAGTACATTAATGTTACTGGTGGCCAGGATTACAATGTGGTGCTCATTTTAAAAAATAGCAGAGTTAAGTCTCTGCACTTGCTATAAACAATTGTATGGAAAGTAACTGTGTGCTTGGCTCGGTGTTTGAGTGCGATTTTCTCCCCTGGCTGTTCAGCTGGCATCGTAATCAGACAGGTGATTTAAACTCTCTGAGACGCATCACCTGGAGTCTTCCAAGGGAGAGGGCTTTTCTCTTAAAAATTATATTTTACACTCATGGCTGTTGTCTTGATGTCTCTTTGACCTGCTCGTTCTGCCTCGGTATGTAAGCTGAAGCATTTGTGTTTGCTGTTTCCAACTTTTTCAAGAGACAAACTGGAACAAAGCTCACTGCTTTTTATTGCAAGACTGAGGAGTGAAGCTTGTCTGAGGGTTGCTGTGTAAATTCTCATTTGCTTAAGTGGTCCCTGCGTCGGGAATTCATTTTCTTGCATCTTGTCTTGCTTGGATTATGTGACCTGGAGTGGAGCAGAAAGGTGTGAGAAGTCTCTCCTCTGAATCAGTGAGGGACCTTGCCTTGCAGTAGAGACCTTAAATGCAAACCTCTAAGCTTCACTCAGCTCCTGCTCTGCGGTTATGCATTCTGGTCTCCTCCTCTGTGATTACCTCCGGCAAAGTACTAGGGCTGCCACAGAGGGACGGACTTTGAAGTGGAAGTGACTCGGCGCCGTGTGTTTCATTTAATACAGGCATCTGTTCACATTAAAGTTACTGTACATGGAAATCTCTAAATTTAAATATATGTTTTATTCTGTTTACATTTGCTGTACTAAACATTGTTCTTTAAAAAACAAACAGAGAACAAACCTTTGAGTCGTCTTCAAAAAAATCGTTGGGTATTACAGAGAGGAAAGGCTTTCTAATTCAAAATAGTTTTCAGATTTCTCAGAAACATGTAAGGGGTGGTAAGCCTCTTTTTCCAGAATATTTGCCCACTTTTACCCGTTACTTCCCCACCACGTCCTAATGCTTAAAAAGCTCACTTAGAGAACACTGTCATATAGGCTTTTATTCTTCACAGGTTTACCTTTTTTTTTTGGTTGGAAAAATATGCAATGCACTGCCTTGAGTCTGCAGGTTGGAAACAACACACTCAAGCAATTATGCCATTTTTTTAATTCAGTTTTTGCTGCTGATTCAAGGGAGAGTTGCTGCCTGATGGACAGAAGGTTTAATTTTAGTCGTCTTCCTCCATTTTATACTTTATAACCTGGAGAGAACCTTAACATGAGCATTAGTGTTGGCATGGGTCATATGTTCTACCTGATGCACCTCTCCTTGGAAGGAAGCCCTCCTTGATGAACTGAGGGAACTCGGCTTTGACAGCACCCGGTGATGGCTGCAGCTCTTCCTCATAAGCACCGTGTTTGATTTTCTTTTTTACAGTTTGGGAATGGATGTGGGCTGCTTGTGAGGCTTTCAAGACCAGGTTCTTATCGATTGTCCAAGCCATTAGCTAATTCGTTATTCCAGTTGTGTTCTTTTATTGTTCAAGAAACATTATTCAGTCCCTCAGCAGCATGCTAATTAGACCCTTGAATGCAATGCCTTTGAATCACTGGAGTTTATCTAGTACGTTTGTTAAG